GCACGCAGACCTCTCCTGACCCACCCGCTGCTCCCCTCAGCAGTGTACTTCGTCGATCTGCCTGTTCTGCTCTCCACTCTGTCTCTGGTGAAGCCTCTCGCAGCTCCTAAGCCTCTGGCCTGTACCCCAGTTTTGTATGCACAAGTAAATAAATCTTTAAAAAAAAAAAAAGGCCCAATTATTTAGGATAACTGAAAAACTACCCTGAGTGTTCTTAAAAGAAACTGTCAACAACATTCAACATACCACCTTATGCTGTAAAAACATGAGATCATAACGCTATCCAAAAAAAAAGGCCAACATAAAAAATATTAACCATGAAAAAGGACTCTAGTAATCCAGGTCCAATAAAAATGAAACCTGATTACATACTAATGACACCAAAACATGATGTCACACACAAAGACTTATACATACTTAGGATGAACTACTCATGTCCATACTAATTCATTACAAACTAAAGTGATAGCATGATTAAATTATTTGACTCAACCAAATTTAAAACCTTAGTACCCTATTAAAACCTTAGTATACTATTCTGTGCAATTCCTTTTAAAAAAAAAAAAAAGCAGATTCTAGATACCCTAGTTAAGATTCTCAGATAAAGTAGAATTCAAGATTCTGGACTTATACCAAGTCATAATGTAAATCAATACATTTTTAAAAAGAGCTGAGAGGACTGTTTGCTATAAAATTTTTATGGAATTTTCTTCTTAGAAAAAAAACTTCCATCCTTTCAAACAAAGCAAATTCTGATAAAATATATTTCCAGTGATCTTGAATAAAATTTATTTCACCTTCTACTACACTTTGCATTTTTTTCAAACTCTGTTGAACACAAATAGCCATGACTTTTAACTCAAATATATATTTGATTTTTTTCACTTACACACAAAAAAACTAGACACAACAATTCAATTTCTCCTATTACATTAACCAAAAATGGCACATAAAGTTATGCCATCAATTACAAGGCCCAGGAAATTAATCTAAGAAGGCAGGCAGGAATAGTATCATTTAGAATAATGTGATTCAGAACAACTCGAAGTCATAAACTGTATTATAAATTAAGTGGCACTCTCTTCAAGTCAAGTTACCAATATAAAATGCTGTCAGCAGAGGTTTAATCCAAATAGTAATAAGAGAATACTTAGAGTGAAAGAAAACTTGGAAATTTAGAGAATTAGGGTACTGCCAAAAGAATATCTATACCTTAACTTTCCAAAAAGGAATCCTTGAACTTCATCAATAGGATCATTTTCACCAATCACTGTGGTATTTACTTCAGTTCCTACAAAAGCACAGCAAGTTCAATCTAATCACTCAGCTTAGAAACAAGAGAAACACCTGAAAGTATAATATCATTTAAAATGTGGATTCTTTTGTAATGGTTCTTTAAACATACAAAATAAATGTTATACAATTTCCTTTGTTCATGGTTGAACAATGTATTTTTTCTGTAAACTCTGGAAATTTTTATTTGTAAAAATTTCAAAATTATTAAATTTTAAATTGTGAACAATGAGTTCAAAACTCTGCAGAATATACAAGACAACTTGCTAGTAAATAAAATTACTGAAAACAGAATGATGAGGAACTAATCTGTCTTCATAAAATCTGTAGTTAAATAAAGAATTCAAAATTACAAAAGAAAGTAAACAGCTCCAAGAGCAGAAAGTAAAAACAAAATTAATTGATAATGGTTAGGTCAGATTTAAAATTTCACAGTGGAAAAAAAATTAATAGCTATTTGTGAACTATGTTACAACAATAACAATAGCTACTACTTCTGAACTTGTTTTATGCAAAAACTGTACTACATTCTTTATTTATATATCTTCTTTTTTCCTCACAAATACTCTGAGAAGGACATGTCACTTTCTGCACTTTACAGAGAAAATTAGGATCTAGAGTATTTGCTTAAGGCCCTTCAACTCAGATGTGCCAAAATCAGGAATCAAACATAGTGTCATCCTAGTCCTAAATTCTTTTTCATTAGGGAAACAAATTCCCCCTTGATGCTATTTTAAAGAAAACACATTGGTCTTAATTTACAAATTCACCTTTCACCTGAGTATCATCCTTGGCCTTGTACTCAGTGCTCTTAATAGCCAATTCCACACCATAGCCAGAGAGATAAACAGGTTCCTTCCTGGGATTCTGCAATTAGAGCAAGTATTCTACCATTACCAAACTCTTCACATGTCACAGTGTACAGGCTACGACAAAGTTAGCATCACCTCGCCAACAGGCTACGACAAAGTTAGCATCACCTCGCCATCACCTACGATTATGAACCCAAAATGCACTTGAACTTCCATGGAAATCCTACACTCATTCAGATTTTGTACCCTGCCACAGGTATGGGAATGGGAATTCTAATGGTAAAGCAAAATCAGATGAAGGGACAGTTAAAGGGAAAAGGTAACCGAACCATAGAAAGAAATGGAAAAAGAGGGGAAATGTCAAATCCTGCAAAACAGGATTGAAAGCTAGCAAGGCTTCAAACCAAGAAATGATTTACTGGGATCATGTGTGTACAGCAGTACCCCACTTATCATCAGGAAATATCTTTTAAGGATCATAGCTGATGCCCTAAACTGAAATATATATTTTGGGGTTTTGTTCCTATGTGTAGCTATGATAAAATATTTAAATTAGTCCCAAAGAACAATGACATAACATCACCCATCCATCCCACCCACATGGTTTAAGATACCATTTGTTTTCATGACTTTGGGATAACTTTTAATTTCACTATATCTCAATGAGATAAGGCTGTTTAAAATAAATAAAAATTTTATGTTATGTGCATGGTCTTAGCACATAATATTTACTGAGTTTATTATGCACAGAAACTTTAAAAGTTAACAATCTTTTCATATAAAGTATTTTAATAACTACCTGTTATGTAAGATTTTAAAAACTTAATTTTCAACCAGTTCTGTCTGATTTCACCTCTTTAGAAATCCTCCCCATCAAATGAAAAAATTCTAGAAAGGAAAAACTAATGTTTGGAAAGAAAATGAATTCAAGAATTAGTTCCATAGTATGCCAACCATATTAAACAGGAACCAAATAAAAAATAATTTACATGGCTCATTTTGAAATAGAAAATAAACTTTATTAAGCCATTTTTTTAAAGTACAACTGACATATATTTCTTCAGGAAGTAGCTTCTATATAAAAATCTCAAACTTGGTAAAGTATCTCAAAAAAGTAGTTTTAGTTATAAAATAAGCAATACTTACAGATATATAGTGTCTGAGTATGTAATTGATTTTGCCTGCATTGCTTTTTGATTTAAGTTGGAGGTGGAAATTATAAAATTCTTCATAGCCAATCTCAGAGTAGAAAATCACCACTGGACTTTCAGGATTAGAAGAGGGATATCTGTGATCTCCCTTGAACAATAAAGGCTTGGGCCTGAAAATAAATATTAAAAGCTTAAATATGAAACTTTAGAAAATATGTAAACATTATAATTGACACAAAATGTAGCTACAATGATGAACAAGGATTACAAGCATCTTAATAAAAGTGTGTCACAGTCTTGTTTTCAGTTAATAAAAATTAAGGCAGGGTTGAGTCTTACTTGCTCATGATTAAAAACAAAAGTATCAAATATAAATACTAGCTATAAAATGTAGACTTTGACAATTGCTACCAATGCTAGGGGCAGAGAGTATTATAGAAAAGAATACATATCCAAATCTCACTACTAGAACTTTAGTAAATTATTCTATCATTAGCAATAGAATTAATTATCCTTTCATCTGAAAATATAATTAACAAAAAAAGCAACTTCGGGCCCTCTCTGGTGGCGTAGAGGGTTAAAGCACAGCACTGAGAAGCTAAAGCCACTTTCGCATGAGTTTGATCCCCGCCTGCCCAGGAGGTGACCACATGGCGTGGCAGACCTCTCCTGACCTGCCCGCTGCTCCCCTCAGTAGTGTACTTCATCGATCTGCCTGTTCTGCTTCCCACTCTGTCTCTGGTGAAGCTTCTCGTAGCCCCTGAGCCTCTGACTTATACCCCAGTTCTGTATGCACAAATAAATAAATCTTTAAAAAAAAAAAAAAAGCAAGTTAGTTAAGCAGATAGCTTGCCAATTACATTGTCTTCACCTTTGCTATTTCTACTACTGTGATTTAACATTTTCATTTTCTTCATAAGTTTTAAAACTCTAATAATGGCATCACAATTCTAATAGATCGTAATGCAAAAACTCCAAGACTTAAGAATTCACCTACAAAAAAAAAAAATTCACCTACAATCAGTCATTTAACAGAACATAAAGATACATGAGTAAAGATGTTTAGTCTTACTAGAATAGAGAAAAAAAACTTTTGAAATACCTTTAAAAACCATATGTAGGGGCGGGGCTAAAAAAAACCATTATGTAAAAAATATAAAATATGCGATACTCTTTTTTTTAAAAGGATTTATTTATTTGTGCATACAGAACTGGGGTACAGTCCAGAGGAGCAGGGGTGGTGAGAGGATTCACCAGAGACAGAGTGGGAAGCAGAACAGGCCGACTGTCGAAGTACACTGCTGAGGGAAGCAGCGGGCAGGCCCAGAGAGGTCTGCAGCACCAGGTGGATCACCTCCGGGTTAGGTAGGGATTGAACTCATGGGGAAGTGGCTTCAGCTTTAGTGCTGTGCTTTAACCCACTTTGCTACCAGGGAGGGCCAAAATATGGGATATTCTTACACATTATTATGCATGTGATAAAAATGAGATATAATTACATGTATGAAATGGAAGTACACTTTACAAAAATAACCCCAGGAAAATGTCTGAAAGTGCCTGTGCAAAAAGGACCATCATTGAGAAGAGCCACCATCACTCTATAAAGTTAATACATTATCACTGTAACAAATTAAACAAAGAACTTTATTTCAGAGGCCTCCCTAGAAACCTAGGGGTTAAATCTTAGCGCTATCATCACTATTGTCTTGAGTTCCCCAGCCAGGGAGCTAATCACCATGGCACAGCAGACCTCTCCTGTCTTGCCTGCTGCTCCCCTCAGCAATGTACTTTGTCATTCTGCCTGTTCTGCTCCCCACTCTGTCTCTGGTGAATCCTCTTACCCCCTGCACATTTGGCCTATATCTCAGTTCTTCTACACAAAAAAATAAAAATAATTAAAATGTTTTAAGTGCTTATAAAAAAAGAAAGAACCTTATTTTAATCAGTCAATCTGATTAAGTGGACTACCATTTTACCATGCAACTATCTCCTAACGTCCCGGTCTCAACTCTGAAATAGTGGAGGTATTCACTGTCGTTTTTGGATCACTCTCATGCCATTTAGTGAGCAAAGGGATTGTCCAATCAACTCAATTAAATAAGAGTCCTATTGTTTAAAATACCTCTAGTGTTTCTGAAATACAAAGCAGCACTAGAGAGATTATTTCCACCCTATTTAAAACATCACTAGAAGAGGTAGGAATGGTGACTGCTCAAGGAAGACAGCACAAGAATACAGATTTTATTTGCCCATGACAGGAGTTCTACCTTTAAGTAAAAAAAGGCAGATCTGGCCCTCCCTGGTGGCGCAGCGGGTTAAAGCCCTGCACAAAGAAGCTTAAGCCACTTCCACATGAGTTCGATTCGGGCCTGCCCCCCGGAGGAGACCACATGGCGTGGCAGACCTCTCCTGACCCGCCCGCTGCTCCCCTCAGCAGTGTACTTCGTCGTTCTGCCTGTTCTGCACCCCACTCTGTCTCTGGTGAATCCTCTCACCCTCCGCATCTCTGGCCTGTACCCCAGTTCTGTGTGAATGAATAAATAAATCTTTAAAAAAAAAAAAAAAAGGCAGATCTGCTAATTCCCACTTTGATATTCAAATTAATGTTGTAACTATTTTTTTTTTGTAACTATTTTTTAAACAGTCACTTTTGTCTGGAACTAATACCCTAAAACAAGTTATCATTACTATCATCATCACTGCAGCCACTGGTTTTAGAACACAAAGTATTATTTACTAAGCTGATGACAAAACCTATGGAATTTCTCAGATATAGTACTTCCTAAATAATAAAAAAAAAAGCAATTTTATTACATCCATTGAAATGAGAATATAATTTATCTAAATTTAACTATTTTAAGTAGTGAAGAAGGAATTCAAATCTAATCAGTCAACCTACTCTCAACGATCATTCTTATAGACTACATAAAACCATGGACTTTAATAAAGAACAAAAAACTAGAAAATTTGTGACATGTATACAAAGAAACACATAATCTACCTTTCAGACGCTGTTAGTAGAAGAGTCTCAAGGGTATCAAAATCACAAGTCTTCTTTCCATGCACTGAAAAAAATGAAGTACATCCTTCTGGTGGAGGTTCATCAGCAGCGATCTGTAATTTAGGACACAAGTCATTTTTTTAAACATATCTAACCAAAGACAAGACAAAGACATGAATATTCTAAATAGGTAATTATAATAAAACATCATTCAAAAAAGCAAAAATGTGAGTACACATTATATGACAGGCAAGTAAGAGATTTCCAAGTCAGTGTTATTTTATTCCTTTCTTCCTAATATCACCTCATGGGGCAGATATTATTATCTCCAAAACAGAACTTTCAAATTCTATACCAAAAGATACCACAAGATTGTCAGAGAATACAGAATGTACCTAGTAAAAATCTGATGTTAGAAGTGTCAGTTTTAGGTGCCAGAGTATAGCCACTCCAATCCTAACTAAGTCTAACATCAAATTAACATGACACACCTCACTGAGATAAACAACTGTAAAAAAGAGTACAGAGAAAGATAATATGATCTAAAGAGCACAATAAATATCCAAGGGAAAGATTTAATGAGATTTATGTTTAGAGTGAAATGCATTATTTCAAGGCATAAGTCAATCAAATACTTTAATGAGGCACATTGAAAAGAGTGAACATAATGATATAGGAAAAGGAAAGATAGTAATAATAGGCAGTGGTATATGCCTTGGTGTTATTTATGTAATATATTAAAACATTCTTCCCTATAAATACAATACAGGGCCCTCCCTAGTGGCACAATGAGTTAAAGCACAGCACTATGAAGCTATTCACAGCCACTTCAGCACGAGTCTGATCCCTGGCCAAGGAGGTGACCACATGGCACAGCAGACCTCTCTTGTCTCACCCACTGCTCCCCTCAGCAGTGTACTTCATAGATCTGCCTATTCTGCTCCCCCTGTGTCTCTGGTTAATTCTCTCATTGCCCCTGCACCTCTGGCCTATACCCCACATCTATATGCATGAGTAAATAAATCCTTAAATAAATAAATACAAAGAATTAAGAAAAATCAGAGAATAATGGTAAGACTACTATAAAAAAAAGACATTCAATTTCTTTACTACATCATTTTTTTCAAAATATTGCAAAATAATTATCAAAAAAGAAATGAGTAATATAATAAACGCTTAGGTACCTAAGACTCAGCTTCAATACTCATCAACTAAAGGCCAATTTATTTCACCTAATTTTCTACCACACTCCATTGGGCCATTTTGATACAAATGCAAAATAGCAATTCATTTGTGATGTTCCAAGATGTCACAATAAAAGAGAGAGATTTTTAAAAAGCATAATGCCATTATTACATTTTAAAAATTAATAAAACTAGACCCTCCCTGATGGTGCAATGGGTTAAAGCACAGCACTACGAAGTTATCCACAGCCGCTTCAGCATGAGTTTGATCTCTGTCCAGGGAGACCCCAGGGCACAGCAGACCTCTCCTGTCTCACCTGTCTAGCCTGCTGCTCCCCTCAGCAGTATACTACAACAGTCTACCTGTTCTGCTCCCCACTTTGTCTCTAGTGAATCCTCTCATTTGCGCGCCTCTGTCCTGTCCCCCAGTTATGTATACATAAATAAATAATTCTTTAAAAAATTAATAAATAAAATTCTGTACAGTTGGCAACTGGCAGCAGTTTTTCAATCTTTCAATGTTCCCTCATAAAAACAGAGAAACCAGATAAGCAAAAACAAAGCCAATGGACCACATTAATGACAAAACTAATAGAAGGAAAACATAAAGCCCATTATCAAAGGCCATGAAGAAAGCAGAGGGAAACAACAGAGATTCTGATGACCCTGAAAACAAGAAAACCCAAAAAAGGCCAACAGGTTTCCACTATAGAGTATGGCAGGCTATAGGGCTTTGCTCAGCCAAATAGTGGGTAAGCACAGAAGTCATGGCAAAGCTTAAAGGCATTAGAGCAGTTTAATCACTCAGCTCTTAATAGTCATAAACTTGGACTCACTTCTAGAATAAGGATCACTCCTAGGAATCTCAGTAAGTGGAATAAACTTTGAGTAGAAAAGAGTTATAGAAATAAATGAAAGAGAAATTCCAGATAAAGCACAAGTCAGGAAATCTCAAAAAGCTAGCCACCATTTTTTTAAAAACCACCTATTTTAACAATATATAAAATCAACTGAAGAACATGCAAATCTCTAAAAATTACGGAAAATTACACATTAAAATGAGCAAGAACGTCTCAAAGTCAAATTGCCTACAGAACTATTTTAAGGAAAGAAGAATAACACCTTTTCCCTTACACATGAGACACCTCTGCAGCAGGGAATCTGCTATACCTGCACTGTCTAGTACAGTCACTACTAAGCTCTTCAAATGTGGTTACTGTCACTGAAGAGTTAACTTCTTTTCTTTAGCTTTAAATGATTTACACTTAAATAACCACGCATGACTAATGCCTACATATTGGACAGTCAGAAGCAAAAGAAAAATCACTGTAAAAATGAAGACTAAACTAGAAGGAGCGCAGAAACAAAGAAAATAAATAACTGCTTTGGAGAAATAGAAAGGGAAATGAAAGAAAAGAAAGATTGAAGAATAAGACAAAAAAGATAGCAAAAATTCAATAGATGATAGGAATTCCTTAAATGAAAAATTATTTGAAACACTATATTAAAAAAATCATTCAGTATAGTTGAGAATACTGACCCAGAACAAGCATCATACAGATAATTATTCTCAAAATCAGTTAGCTATATTATGACAAAACAAAATATTCTATGATAAACAAAATATCCTTTGGGACTCTGAACAAAAAGAAGAGACTTTTAAGGGAAATAAAATTAGATTATCATCAAGCTTTTCAGCAGAAGACTTAATGCTGAAAGAAAATGGTATAATATTTAAGACAAAAAGAAAACATGATACAAGGATTTTATATCCAAATCATTATGTAAATGTGAAAAAACTGAGAAGATATTGTTTCCATGAGCCCTTCTTAAGAAAGCAAATGTCAGGTAGAGATGTTTAGCAAAAGCACTGGTGGTTGTGTATTAAAGGTACAGATTATTTATAGAAAGAAAACTAAATGAAGCTGAAAAGGAAAAAATATAATGTTAAAGTAGACTATAATCATTTTTTAAATATGAGGTAGGAGAATGGGAATCAGTAGGCCAAAAGAAGTATTTTTAACCTTTCAGTAAATGTAGTTGCGGCATATATGACTATTACAACTAAGGCTAGTCTATACATAACATGGATAAAACAAGTATTTTTGCTTTCAATTTTTTTTCACATTTACAAAGCATTTATCTGCCAACTGATTAATATCCTGAACTCAACAAAAATACAACTCTATTCAAAATGGGTAAAGATCTTAAATAGATATAACTCCAAAGAACATAGACAGATGGCACATTATAAGACACTCCAAATCACTGGTCACTAGGGGAATGAAAATCAAGACTAGGAGACACAAGTCCCTTCTCATAAGGACGGCCATTGTCAGAAAAAAGAAAAAGAAATAGAAAATAACAAGAGCTGGCAAATAATGGGGAGAAAGTGGAATCCTGGTACATTACTGATAGGGAATGTAAAATAGTGCAGTTACTGTGGAAAACATTTTGGCAGCTCCTCAAAATGTTAAACATAGAATTACCATATAATGCATAAATTACAGTCCTATAGGCATGGCCAAAAGAACTGAACTCAACCAGATACTTGTGAACCAATGTTTCATAACAGCATTATTCTCAATAGATAAAGCACAAAATGTTGATACAACATTTTGACCTGAACCTCAAAAATATTTTGTTATATGAAATGAGTCAGATACAAAAGAGACAACTCTTAGATGATTCCACTTATATCTAGAAGGAATAAATTCACTGACAGTGGCCAGATATTTAGGGATAAAGAGAAATGAGGACTTATTAACAGATGGGTATAATTTCAGTTCTGCAAAATGAACGGAGTTCTCAAAAAGGACAGAAGTAGTCCCTCCCTGGTGGCGCAGTGGGTTAAAGCACAGCACTGAGAATCTAAAGCCGCTTCCGCATGAGTTCGATTCCCGCCTGCCCCAGAGGTGACCACATGGCGTGGCAGACCTCTCCTGACCCACCCGCTGCTCCCCTCAGCAGTGTACTTCATTGATCTGCCTGTTCTGTTCCCCACTCTGTCTGTGGTGAAGCCTCTCACCGCGCCTGAGCCTCTGGCCTGTACCCCAGTTCTGTATGCACAAATAAATAAATCTTAAAAAAAAAAAAAAAGGACAGAAGTAATGGTTGTAAACAATAAGAACATACTTAATGTCACTGAACTGTATAGTTAAATGGAGTTAAGATGATAAATGTTTGCTAGGTGTATTTTACCACAATAAAAACAAAGCTGAAACAAAATTAAATGTCAAAGTAAAAGGATGTTTATTCAGACACCTAGTAAACAAAGGAAGAATCAAGCATGTATTCCACCTTTCCTGTGTGACCAGTATACTACATAGTATCAAATAAGATGTGCCTTTTTATATATCATATTCCAGGGACAAGTGGAAAATAAAAGACAGAATGATAGTCACCACTCTGCAACCTCCAAATTAATGGATTTGTAAGTATAAAGTACTTAATGGTAGCTAAATCAAAAGAAAACACCAGACATAAGGAGCCTCCTCATGAAGAATTAAACACTACCTATAGATTTGCCAAAAAAATGAAACACAGTCTGATAAAGTCTCTGGATCCAGCTGCCAATTTTAGGGAACAAAGGAATAGGTAAATTATACTGTAAGTAACTGAAGAACAAAATATTGTTAAAAAATAAAATTATAGGGCAAGGTTTATTATTCAACCAAAAAGGGATGAAGGGAGAATTGGACAAGACTGAACTCTACTGTGTGTGATGCACCTGGGTAAAAAAGTGATACAGAAACACAGCAAGTGATTCTGTGGTTCCTTTGGAGAATGAAAGACAGCTGTGATGGGGACAGGATACCTGGCAAAATTCTATTTCTTGAACTGGGTGAGTGTTCCAAGGATGTTCACCTTATAATAATTCATTATTATTATGTATTTCTTGTGAGTGGTTTTCATAAGCACTGTATAACTGTAAGTGGTTTAAAATTAACAATTCTCTTATGTCAACTATACCACATAAATATATATATATGTATGTACATATATGTGTGTGTGTGTATATATATATATATATATATATATATACACCTTTTTCTTTATTTTTTTTTTTTAAAGATTTATTTATTCATACAGAACTGGGGTACATGCCAGAGGCTGAGGGGCGGTGAGAGGCTTCACCAGAGACAGAGCAGAGAGCAGAACAGTCAGATAGACGAAGTACACTGCTGAGGGGAGCAGCGGGCGGGTCAGGAGAGGTCTGCCACGCCATGTGGTCACCTCCGGGGCAGGCGGGGATCGAACTCATGCGGAAGTGGCTTTTAGCTTCTCAGTGCTGCGCTTTAACCCGCTGCGCCACCAGGGAGGGCCCCTTTTTCTTTATTTTAACAACAGTTTATTCAACTCAAGATCCACTCCTTGAATTAAGTTGACACATTTTAAGTCTGTTTTTTCTTCTCTTCATAAATTATTTGTTAAAGAAATCAGATCACTAATTACAAAGCTTCCTGCATTCTGGATTTTCCTGACTCTGTCCCCAAGGTAGTGCTTCCCATTTCTCACCCCCTGTATTTCTCATGAATGGTTCTTAAATCTAGAGGCTGTGATCAGAACTAGGATCAACTTGTTCAGCAAGCTTACCCTCCTAGACTTGTATAAATGAAATATGGCTAGTACTTTCATAGGTGGTTTCTTTTCTAAAGTGAAAATCAATGCAAATTATATGTTTAATAGTCTGCAATTTGAAAATTTAACATCAGAATGTCAAAAATACCAGGCATTAGAATTACAGCTCTATAAGCCAGGCCAACACAACTGTTGTATATGCAATCATGTTATTTTTTCACAACCCCTAAAAAATACAGCTATCTGTAAACACTCAATTTACCTGCTGGAAGGCTTGAATTGTAGCCGAGTAGGAACGAAGAGATAGACAAAATTTCAACAAATTCTGCTGTAGAGGTGTCAGAAATTCAAATGCAGCTTCCAGTATTTCATGATAATAGAAATAATCAGTACCTGACAAGAAAAAATAACCAAAACAATCATATATGACTAAGGTGTCCAAATAAGGTAATACATAAAGTATAAAGTTATATATTACAAAGATACATGAGAGCAAAACTTTACCACTAGACTGTCTTAAACCAAATGCTTAGAAGTCTTTTCAGTATACTACGCAAGTGGACTGTGCTCTCTTCCCTTTCTTCATACTATTCACCCTCTCTGGACTGCTGTACTTCCACTTACCTGGATGCATAACCCTTCTTATTTCCTTAGCAAGAATTCACTAGTGAGATCATCTACTCTCAGGGAAGTCACGCCCAGTCCCTACCTCATGTCTCCTGGACTAATAAGCACATCCCTTCTTTGTTCCCATACTTATTTTCTCACCTCTTTTGTTATCACATCCTTTACTACTTTTTTTAAAGATTTATTTACTTATGCATACAAGAAGGGACACAGGCCAGAGGTATGGGGGGGTGAGAGGATCCACCAGAGACAGAGTGGGGAACAGACAGATCTACTGAAATACACAGCTGAGGAGAACAGTGGGCGCAACAGAGATCTGCCACACATATGGGTCACCTCCTTAGCCAAGGATCAAACTTGTACTACAGTGGCTGGGGATAGCTTCAGTGTTGTACTTTAACCTGCTGCGCCACCAGGGAGGGCCCACATCCTTTACTATTTATTCACTATCCTCCCCTTCCCAAATACTCTGTCCCCAGAGACAGAAGCTATGATTTATCTTCATATGCCAGTGCCTAGCACATTTTTTACTCAAAGAACACACAAAACTGAACAATGTGATACAGCAGGACAATATATTCAAAGATATTGATAAAACTGCAGTTTGGGGAAAAGTATTTAAACAAACAACTGAAGCAAATTATCTGGATAGTGGGGGGGAGGGGCACATGTAACAGCATGAAGACTGGACATATACGTACCAGCATGAAAAAACTCCCAGGATACAATGTCAAATGAAAACCACAAGGTACACAATGTTTGTGTGTGTGTCTGTGTGTATATCTTTATTCTAAGTATACATATTTGTTTTTTAAAAAGACCCTGAATAAAAAACAAGTTAATCTAAATGGTTATAAAACATGGGAGAGAAACAGAAGGAACAGGGATAGGGAAGGAACAAGATTTCTTTTCTACAGCTTTGATTTTTAAACCACTGATTATTCCAAAAAATTTTAAGAAACATGTTCCCACTTATAAAGAAAAAAAGAAAAGTTTTAATACTTCATTAGCATACTGTAAATAGAAAAAAAACCACAAATACCTTAAAATGTTGCCATCAAATATAAAAATGTTAATGGTGAGAACCTTTGGATGGTGACATTATGAATAATACTTCAAATAAAATATTTAATATCCTTTATGATCACTTCCAAGAACTCATACTCCTGTAATTTTAACCACTTATAGTGAAGTACTCTCATTTTAAATGTCAGAGTTCAGATTAAACGATAAACCTACCTTCGCCAACATGCTTTACAAAGTTATACATGAAAAGTAAAATGACTTTTTGATAAATCAAACAAATCCAATCAATTCTAAATTACATAAGTAAAGCTGTCAGATGCTGTTCAAGCCTCTACTTATATTGCAAAATAATTCAGATTTGACTTTTAAAATATGTATTGTTACTAAAAATCAAAGCTAAAAATCAATTCAGTTAGATATCACTTTAATTTTTACATATTTCCTCTTCAATAAAGACTTATACCTGTTGGTATATTAGTCAAGCTTTTAGTTACTCATGTATTAGCATCTTTGACTATTAATGTTTTTACTCTATATAGCTTATATTGAATGAGAAAATGGTTGTGATAGTAAATTATAAATTGTAAGCAAGTGATAAAAGTTTACATTGTCCTTAACTAGACACCCTGACACTCAGGGTGTGAGAGGTTGGCAGGCATAATAATGGAAAACATTTTGAATAGCACTAACTAAATGATAGTAAACAACAAATAGATCAATTGTGTAATTAGTTAACAAAAAGAGTGAATCAAGTCACATGGTTATTAAATTAATATTAAATTATTTTAAATAAATTTGACTTCCACATAATATTCACATGGCAATTTCATAAAAGAAGACAAAAAAGAACAATAAAGAGGGGGGAAGGGAAATCAAGGTAGTAGTTAAAGCCAAAGTTATATATTGCTTCAAAAATAATTAGTAGTTTGTGTTGGTGTTGCTGGGTACGATCACAATTCTAGTCATTAAAGATAAAAATGTTTTCCATTAACTTCCATGCCATTCATACTGTGAAAAAGAACATTTTTTCTCATATTTTCCCAGACACCAAAATCAAAGAAGCATTTGCTTCAGTTTTACCGTGATGATATGATGATCCAATATTTTGACTGGCTTCTACAAAATTCCAAAATTTCTCTTGACTGTCTTCTGCTAAAAACTCACTGAGAGAAAAGGAGGAAATATCAGAAATGAAACAACTCAATAAAATCTTCTAATATAAGCTATATGCTAAAAAGAGTAAAAATGTTTTTAGGTTTCTAAATGTCCACAATTTGACTTTTATTTTATATATATGTGTGTATGTAAATATATATATGTGTATATAATAGTATATATACTATACACAAGTGTGTATAATATATATGTATATCTTAATATAACCAAGTCTTATTAGCTTAATAACTATTAATTAATTGAGTAGCATATTCATTTAATATCTTGATAGGTATCCTTTAAGAAGCGTAGAAAAAAAAAAATGCTCTAACAGGAAAGTCCCAATATAAAGAACACTTATGAAGAAGCCCCATCTGTGACAATGCTAGCAACTATAGAAGCAGAATTGGGAAGTGATAATCTAATACGAGTTCTGCTCAATTATTTTCTTAAATATTTTACAAAAAAACAAAAACTAAGTTTCTCCCAAGAAAAACATGAACCGTAGAAAATTTTCTAGGAAATTAATGGTTGTAATCTTTTAACATCCATAAAAATACACAATTTCAAGTTCACCAAATTTTAAAGTTAGCAATGATCTAGTAAAATCATGTCTTAGGAATTAATGCCATCTTTTTTTCCTTTAAACTACTCCCCTAAAATAATGACCATTCTAAATTTGCCTTCATTAGTGAGTCTAAAATCCCTAAAGAAAATGCATGTACTAACTGAATGATTCATGTATCATTATCTTCTCCTCTGAACCATAATATTAAAGTAGTAGTGATCTTTCACTGCCTTAAAGTAAGCTACGTATCTGGATCTCAGCTTACCTAGCCAAAGGAAGACTTTCCCATTACTTGTCAACACTGGGGTGTACAACTCTCACTCTACTTCACAGCTAGACACAGAAATACGGGAAAAGTAAGAAACATGTCCTGGTAATGCACAGGTCTCTAACAATAGATTTCTGAAATTACCCATTATGATGTCTTAAAATTATTCATTACCCCAAGTATGGCATTCTTCTAGGCTTTCTGTAGTAGCTGAGAGATACCACAGCTTTATAATAGTTTATAGTCTAAGTAAACAGGTACTCAGGCTAGACTAAGATCATGATAATACAGATTAACACACTAAATTCATAAAGATGTATTCACAAAATGAACTAGCAAAAATGGGAGAGGGATAATATATATACTCATAAGTTGTAGTGACAAGAACAAGGATTCACTGAAACTAAGAACCTCCTGTAAAGGCCATAAGCAAATTAACATATGCTTTTCAGATAATTACAGAAAACTTCTTGAAATGTATTTTTTGATTTGTGTAAGTCTTATAACATTTAAGTCATGAGAAAATTAATTACCAGATCTACTGAACTGATCTAGGAAAGATAAGAACAATATAAAATATCATTAAAAGAACACTGGGTGGGCGAGGAGGCACTGGACTTTGGTGGAGAATTACTGGGTTCTCTGGTGATAGGTTTGGTGTGGTGATATACATCTGAAGAGGTGTGAACCTATACCCCTATATCCTACAGTGATGTAAGCCTCCTTTACCCCAATAAGAGATCATTATTAAGAAAAAGCACTGTCATTTGTTTACCATTAACTTAAGTTTGTTGACTTTCTGCCTTAAGTTGTTTTTTGCCTTGTACGTACTCCACTAAAATAAAAAATTCAATAGACTTACAGACAAAATGATATTCTGCCTGGGATTTGTTTTAATACAGTCAGCAGAAAAAGGGAGGAGCAGGGTAGTTGTGGACATAAGTTCACAACCTTTAAAAACTGGTCAACAGGTAAAAGGAGAGTACATTATACCATTCTCTCCACTCTGAAATGTCAAAAAGTTTTTATCTATAGCAAAAGAAAAGAAACACTATTAACAACTGAGTGTATATCAGGTAGCACAAATCAAGTATAAAAAGTACTTAGCAAAAAAAAAAAAAAAAGTAAACCTGTTCTCTTAGATTTCCAAAGTTATTGTAGGAAATCAGAATTGGTCTTCCTTCATTACAGAACTAAGATAAGAAAAGCAATGCCTCTGTAAGAAAGGCCTATCACATGACGGTGCTATGCTCAGTATATTCACATTATGTCCTCAAATCTTCAGTCACCCTGAGTTACAACCAGGTTTTAATTAAAAAATTGTATTTAGAGATATTTTATTAATTTTTATGGACAGGAGGAATAAATGAAAAATCTGAAGCGTAAGCTCACATCTGTTTATATCGATACATTGCTGCATTTCTTAAGTCATGTAATATCTAGCACTCAAACAATGATTATAGGCTCCAAGTTTTAACAGTTAGACTTTATTTACAAACTATTTCTATTAACAATTATAGACACTATAATACATAGTGGCTACCATATTTTACATGTTTAACATATTCAGAGTTGTACTTCAATTAAATATTGTTCATTAATAACTACAAAGCTGTAACACCTTCACTAGCATCATATCCAAACTAAAAATAAAACAAGTATTTTTAGTTCCTAAGCGCTAGATGCAAGGAATGTAAAAGTATGCAGAACTGGCATGCCCCCAAGTGTGGACAAAGACTGACCCTGCTCTCACCCAGTGTTGCCATCACCATCAATGCCTGCCATGGGCTGGGGAGGGATGAATGAATGGAGGCCTCTCTAGCTCTGGAAGTAAATGTGGAGTGGGTTCCAATAAACACAGCTTGTTTTTGAGTTATCTATCGGTCCAAACCTTGCAAATTGCCTGCAAATTGTCATAGAAGAGAACTAAAACTTAATATCTAAAATTGTAATGAACTAGAGATAGCATGAAGTGGGGTGATGTTGTGACAGGGAAGCTGGTAAAGGAAACAGTATATAATACACTATAGAAATGAAAGAAACTGAAAAAAAATTGATGGTTGACAATGCCAGCATAGTGTCTCAAAAGTCCATAGCTACAGGCCATAGGAGTTGTCCAAGACAATGTATAAAAAACAAAAAATTAGTGTGAGTGTAAAGGAATGAAATTCACTTAAGAATGTTAAGCAGAATATCCTAAGGTATTGATTATTGTTAAGTGTACAAAACTGTTTAGAAGTGACAATACATTTCAATGACTTAGATTTACACCACACAAAACATCCCAAATAAGGTTAGGAAAGAGGTAAATAAAGCTGAGAGCAATCCAACATCTCTAAAGGCCTTTGGTCAATTCATCTTGAGAACTGCCCTAAATCTATACAGTTCTAACATCTGAGGAACACAATTTAGTTATCAAACTCATTATTATACCATGACCACAAAATACATACATTGGGTTTCTTTTGTTAGTTTTTGCCATTTTGTTACTGAGAAAAGGAAGGGACAAAGACGTTGAAGAAACGTAACAGAAAGAAAGTCTGTTCAGCAAAAAGCCTGTGGGATCCTCAGCAGGTCAAGACCAGCTCCCATGTGTCCCACTCTCCCACTGGGCCTCTTAGCAGCACCAAATGAGGCTGTTCCTTAAGAGATACAACTATACATCTACATAAGCAACATAACAAAACTCTTCATTGACAGCTTTCTAGGGATAAAGGGTAGATATTAGAAGATGCAATTTTAAGGTGAAGATAACAAAGGTAGGGGACATTAATGAAGTGGTGTGATAGTTCAAATGTCTAACACTATCTGATGCTTGCTACTCAACCTATCAAAATGTATGCTTTACAAAAATTCTCTGCAAGTCCTGACTATATCTGAGATACAATATAAGCTTTATCTATAAACATTAAAACACTGACTGAAAGTCTCCAGTTATATTTATATTTTGAACACTAACTCAAAAGTACACTTGGAATACAAAATTTTGCAATAAAGCTTCGACTAGATTATATTTTATGGATTTTAAGATATTGTTGGTTTTAAGACATATCATTGTTTATGAAACATACTAAGAATGAAAAATATTCCCAGTTTCAACTGTAAGATAATATCTGGCTTTGACTATCATGCACCCTGATTTTGGAGATGTTAAACTATAGAACATGTACATCTTAGAATAGGTAAAATTTGGTTATTGCCTCAGCTTCCTTCCTGTACTCTTCTCTTTGTGTCTTCATCCAAGTTCGTAGGAGGAGGTAAGCTCTATTCTCTACCCTGCCAAACATTCTTCTTTTTATCAAACATCTCTTAAAACCTTCAAGTTAAAACATTGATTCAAAAACACACCTGCACCCTCCCCGCCCCCCCCATGTTTATTGCTGCAACCCAAATGCCCAAAAGTAGGTAAGTGGATTAAAAAGATGTGGTACATATACACAGTAGAATATTACTCAGCAGTCAAAAACGATAAAACACATGCCTTTTGCAGCAACATGGATGGAGCTGGGAGGGATCATACTTATTGAAATAAGCCAGAAAGAAAAAGAAAAATACTGGATGGTATCACTGATACCAGGAGCATAAAGGACCGGGGAGGGGGGGTTAAAAATAATAATAATGAACAACTATATTACCAGAGACATTTTACGGGGATGAAGGTAGGAATGGGATCAAAAATGGAGGTTGGGGGGAGGTACACAGGACTATGGTGATGGCACACAGGTGAATTGGTGATGGGGAAGCCCACGGGAATTGCAACTGGGATGGAAAAGGCACAAAATGACATAAAAATAAACTACTATAATTTTAAAAAATAATAATAAATAATAACCTTCAAATTAAAAAATTTCCTTTAATTCCAACTTCCCTTTTTACCGCTTTACACTTTTCCTGGAAGAGAGCATAATAATTTAACCAATATATTTGTCTAAAGAAGTCCCTATGTATCTCTGTGAATCAAAGGCCTAGCAGCCTTTGAACAGCACACAGCACAGTACACACTGAAAAGGGCTCTTACTAAATGCATGTGATGATGATTCCCCTCCCTAAAACGCTCCTGAATATTCACAAAACCTACATTTTTTTGCTCAAACATGTGAAAGAGAAAAATGTCTTATTACCTGGCTTCCAATAACAATGGAGTAGAAAACCATTTTGTTGTAAGAGAGGTTGTAATGGCTTTTGAATCTGCTTTTACTGAGGAAAGCAGCCACAGTCCAATGAATATAATCAGAAGTCCCATTTTATAGCAGACCCCTAAAAAGGAAAAAAAAAAAAAGCTTTGCTATAGAAATATTTAAACATGTATTTTAAGATTTAAGTGACATAAAGTAACATTGCTGAGTGACTAAAATATCACTAAAGATGCTATGAAAGTTACCAATATCCTGCTTGATATTAACACACAGTATCTCTAAAGAACAATGATTAAATACAAACTAAATTATACTAAATAAAAAAGTTACTTTTAGGCCCTCCCTGGTGGCACAGCGGGTTAAAGCACAGCACTGAGAAGCTAAAGCCACTTCCGCATGAGTTCGATCCCGCCTGTCCTGGAGGA